AACCAGACAAACCCAAAGAGCAGCAGGTGCCCCCCCCCCCAAAAAAAAACAACAACGCTCAGAAGAGAGCAGAGTAGAAAAACAGGCAAATGCAAAGGGCGTGGCCCACGAAGGAAGTGGACAGCGTGCTAACACGTGAAGGGATTGCCACCCACAACAGGAACCAACCTGTTGAGTGGAAAACTAATTCTCCCTGTAAACCTTCCCCCAAATCACTATGAAAGTTGTGGGTGGGGTGGGGTGGTACTCTACTTAAGTGAACTTGAGTACTTTGAAATTAAATTGTTGAAAGCTGGAGGGAATGAATGAATGGCGGAAGGATTTCACACTTACCAAGGAGCTGACCACAAAGAAGAAAAATACCAGCAAGTTCTCGGTAATGCGTCATTAGTGAAACTGGAGAGAGAGAGAGCACTCATGCTCCTTGTTCACGAGCCTTCCCTACCTCTCCCTCCCCTCGCTCCATCCTGCAACCTCCTGCCCTTTCTTTGTCTAATTTGTGGCCCACCTCAACCCCCCTCCATTTTTTCTATCTGCCCTCCTACCTTCCCTTCCATCATGTCAGGCCTCAGGAATGACTCTTAGGTCAGCATTCACACTCAGTAGAAATGAAGTTTATGAGCTTCCTGCCTTGGGCCTACTTTCCTTGCAATGAAAGAGTGACCCATTGTAAACAGAGTCCGGAGCATTGTCTTGCTAAAGAAGTGGCATTTAAGAGGGACCAGCAGCCTCCCTCTTAAATCAACCACGAGCGAGTTCACAACTGTGAACCCGTTCATCCTGCTCACGTAAACCCCCAGGAAGGAGAGAAGACAAGAAGTATCGATATGAAAACAAACAAAACCAGAGTTTATATAAATGCACCCTATGAGAGTAAGTTCATAGAGTCTTATCCGTTTCCGTTTTTGGAACCTGGGCGGTTTTTCTCATAGGTTTTAACTAACCTGAGAACTAACCTTTTAAAGACTTAAAAATAAAAAATCTGCTCTCTCTGCACTAAACTAATATAGAAAAACGACAATGCTTCAAGTCCCTGTCACTCTCCTCGGGTCCTTGGTTCCCAGCAAGGACAACACTTCAGCACACTTAAGGAGTACAGCATTCCAGCCCCCCAAGAGGATGCCGGGCAGAGAATTCCACAAGCTCTGTGCTAGGACAAGGATTTGCTCACTGTCCCAACCTTGCTCTTTTGACCCTTGTCACTGAAAGCAAATTGTGCTGTAGCCTCACTGGAGCGCACCCCCCATCATTGTCCCGCTCCTGAATGACTGCAGGTGCCTGTGGGACAGGAACGACATCCCAGCTATGCCCTCCGCCCAAGGCCAGCTTGGACCCCTAGCACCCTCAGGACCGCCTTCTACTTTGGCCATCTCTAGGCACAGGCCTGAGCCAAGCCGCTTTGACGCATAAGGACCTAAGTGATCCACCACGGTCTGGTGGACAAAAGGAGGTGCCATTAGTGGCAGAGTGGTCAGGTTTTGGGCTGCCAACTGCAAGGTCAGCAGTTCAAAACCAACAGCTGCTCCTCATAAAGAAGACAAGGCTTTCTACTCCTATATAGTTACAGTCTTGAAAACTCGGAGGGGCAGTTCCACCCGTCCTGTGGGTCACTATGAGTCAGCATCGACTCTATGGCAGTGAGTGTGGTTTTGGAATAGACAAAAATGGTTGCAAGGCCTTGCTCTGTGTGGGTTGGTGCTCTGACAGCCTTCCAAAGCATCCCTCAAGGCCAAGATCAAGTCTAACCCAGCTCTCTTGTCCATTCTTGTCCTTGTTCGGTGGCCTCACGGCCCACTGGTGAACACCTCATGATGTCAGGCAGCAATGGCGGGGCAGTGATGGAGCTGGGGATGCTCACAGTCACACAGGGCTGGAGGAATGAGCTCTGCCTTGGGGACCATCACAAGTTTCACCGGACAGGGGCCAGGCCAGGAGGTCTCAACCCTGGCTGCTGGGGTAAACCTTTGACAGAAGCCCCAAGCCAGGGCCTCCCCCCCATTCTGAGCAGCAGCAGGAGGCCCAGCTCAGGGGGTTTTAAAGTCCAGTGACTCTAAGGTAGCACCGGTGGACCAGCCCCTGCTCTGTGGAGACCAGCATTAGGTTCGTGCACAGAGCACCTCCTGCACAGCCACCCCCTGCCTGGCAGTTGGGGCTTGTGTGTTGTTATGAGGCCGAACACATTTTGGTGGAGCTTCCTGACTACAACACACAAGGAAGAAAGGCCTGGCGGCCCTCTCCCGACATTCAGCCAGTGGAAACCCCTGGAGTGATCCTCTTGAGCATGAGGTCACCCTGTGAGGTTTTGAGAGTGCCACTCTTTACAGGAGTAGAACGCCCCAACTTTCTCCCTCAGGGTGGTTGGTGGTTTTGAACTACTGACCTTGTAGACTGCAGGCAACATGTAACCACTACACCATTAGGGCTCCCTAATCACCACGTCCGCACCCAGATGTTCACCTGACCCGGCCACTGCTGCTGTTACTCTCACCCCTCGCCTGTCCTGCTGTCAGGGGTGCCTCTTGTGACTCCTCTTATCAGAGTTCCCCCTGCTCCTGCCCTCATCCGGCATCTGGACCTACAACCGGCTCCTCAATCTACCCTCCACACCGCACACAGGCCGCTTCAAAGATGCGAATCTGTCCCTGCTGTGCCTGACATCTGTGGGCCACAGATAAAGCCTGTATCCCATGACCTGGTGCCCGAGGCCCGCCTTCTGCTGGCTTCTCGCCACCACTCGGCCAGCCTCACGCTGAGCTTCTGCTGGTGCGATCTTGATGGCATCCTACTCATTTCTTCAGGCCATTCTTCACCTCTCTCTCCAGCAAAGCCTTCCCCAGCACACTGGCAGCTTCTCTGAGATCCCCAGCATCTGTTTGTACAGGCTGGGAGAAAGCGCCTCTCTATGGTTGTGTGGACAGCTGCTTCTGGGTCTTTGTCCCTACTGGGCAGCTGCATTTAGGGAGAGGATGATTCATGTTTGAGTCTCTGGCTTCTGAGCATTGAGCACAAAACCTGCACCTAAAAGAAAACTAGTGGTAGTTGGTTGAATGCATGAGAGAGCCCCCATCCCAATAAATCCATGCTGACTGAATCCATGCACCATTCCATTAACTCTGGGGAAATGGAGTGTTGTAAGTAGGATCACAGGAGACCTGGTGGCATAATGGTTATGTGTTGGGCTGCAACACGCAAGGTCAGCAGTTCGAAACCACCAGCCACTCCATGGGAGAAAAATGGAGCTTCCTACTCCTGTAAAGAACTACTGTCTCAGAAACTCACAGGGGTACTTCTACCCTGTCCTGTAGGGTCACCACGAGTTGGTATCAACTTGATGGTCATGAGAAGCAGGATCATTTTCACAGGAAGATTTAATTTTTCAAAACTAGAAAGAAATTTGTAAAGGTCCACAGATTCGGAAATAAGCTCAGCTCCCCTGGCCAAGACCAGGTAGAATCCCTACGTAGGACCTCCAGGAGGTGGTGTGATCAACGGCCCTTGACCCTCTAGTCACCCTGCACCAAACCTGAAGGGTCGGCGCTCCACTCCCTCCACTACAGTCCCCCTTCAAGACAAATACTGATGGCTGGACAGCTGGCCAGGGACCCGATTTAAGTGCTATAGAATAAAACGTTATTTAAAAGCTCTAGCATGCTTTTTCATGGTTTCAGGTTTCAGAAACGCTGCTACCATAAAATCACAAGCAAAAATGCCTCTCTGAAGTGCACAGTTTGGAGGGCCCTGGGATGAACTTAAATTTCCCCACAAGCTTTTTGGAAGCAGGGGTCAAATCTTACTCATCTCTATCCCTGACACCTGGAACAGAGACAGGCGCCCAACAAAGCTTCCGTTGAAGGAATAAATGAATGAATGCATCGCTCAGATCCCCGAGGCCGCCCCCCCCCCCCCATTTAGTGCTACCTCCCAGTGTTCTTCTGGAAATAACTCAATGGACACTAGCAGGAGCCCGATTTTCAAATATTTTCTTTCTTTCTTTTCTTTCTTTTTTAGCACTGTTGTATTACACTGACTACAGCTTGCTCTCCTATTGTTTTAAAAGTTCTAAATTTCTACATGATTAGTTTTTATTGTAAGATCAAAGATTAACTGAAAAAAAAATATTTTTATATTTTGTTTTTTTCTGTTTTCTAACAATGAGGCTGTGTGCTCCTAATTTTAAAACAACCAATTGAGAGGACCAAATTGGCTACTTCAGCCAGAGAAACCGACTTTGGTAAAAATGAAAGACTATCTTATTTCAAAGAGCAGGGGCCAAAATCCAAGTAGGGAGAGGTACTGGCTAAGAGGACAGAATGAAAACATCAAGTGAAAATACAATCTAGCTCTGTTAAGATGACAGCTCTTAAAAGGTCGGGGAGGGAACCCAAGGTCAATCTGTCTGGAAAGAACAACCCATAGCAGCAAGATAGAGACTTGGTCTCGCGAGCTTTGGACCTATAATCAGGAGGGACAAGTCCCTGGAAAAGGACATCACACTTGGTAATCAGAGGGTCGAAAGCGGGGCAGACCCTGGGGGAGATGGTCAGACACCCTGGCGACAGTCATGGGCTCCCACATAACCGTGATTGTAAAGCTGGTCAGGATCAGGCACTATTTCATTCCGTTGTACGTGTGGTCTCTAAGAGCCAGGACACCCCGACACTCCCACCACAACACAGCCAGGCGCATTAGCCAAGAGGCCCGGTCAGAAACACCGACACAGTTCTCCTGTGTCACCATCCATAGCTACATTCTGGCCTAGAGTGTTATTTCTCATGGTTAAAGCAACGGGAGAGGTAGCAAATTCATGTAGTGGAAATGAGCACAAGAGGAGAAAGGTAAATCAGCTGACCGTACGTATCACCTCTGACCCCGCTCTGCGACCCTGGGCGGTAAGTGGGACTCTCGCCGGCGGCCAGGAGCACCGACTTCAGCCAAGTTGCAGCCCCCCGGCTACTGACACTACTTCACCTAGAAGCCAACTCGGGGTGTTGAATATTTACATGAATTCTTGTCGGGAAGCCGGTCTATCTTCCACACCACGGCCCGGTAGGCGCTCTCGTATCTGGCGGAGCCCACGGTGACTTGCACGACAGGCTCCGTCTCGGGTTCCTGTAAACTTCCCAGACATGCCCTGCGGTTCATTTTGGCTTTCAGAGACTTCTGCCTCTGCAGGTTCATGGTCCAGAGGGCCTTGACCCACTGCGATGGCACGGGGAAGTGGATCGTGATGTTCTCACAGGCCCTCGGGGGCCCGGCGTGCGAGGGTCTCTGGGCCGCTGGGGCCATGTTGAGGAAGGACTGCAGTTCCACAGATGCTCCCTGGACCACCACGACGGACTTGACAGAAAAAGGCAGCTCGTCCCCCGACAAGCGCGTCTTGAAACGCATCAGCTCAAATCGGCAGGCGTCCAGCGGGTCAAACTTAATGACCCTCAAGTGCTCGAATTCCTGCGCCTTCACGCACGGATGAAAATGATAGTCCAGGATCTCAATCCCTCGCTTTCCCGGGTCCTTTTCGAAGTAGCGCTCGTCTCGCTTCGGCAGCTCGAGGTCGTTCAAGGTTAGAAAGCACTCGGCGCTCCCGTTCACGAAGGCGAGGCAGCAGATGTGCGTGATCACGGCGCTCTCGGCCATCTTCCCTTCTCTCGAGACTCGGCCCCAGACGTTGTCCGTGATCTCCAAGGTCAGTTCCTGGTCTTCGTAGTTCCTTTTGGGCCTCGGGACCGCCGGCAGCCTCACGAGCGCCTCATCCACCGTGGTCAGAAAGTCGAGGAAGTCGGGGTACTCGGGGGAGCCCAGCTTCAGCATCTGCTCGACATCCGGCTCGCGCCCGAGGTCCGTCTTGGAATGGTACTTCCTCTTCTCCGTGTAGGACACGTGCTCGACCTTGACCGTGTGGATTTTCCCCGCCACGCTGAAGTTCTCCACTTTGGGCTCCGAAAGCCTACAGTGCGCGTCCAGCTGGAACTCCTTAAAGGGTTTCTCTAGCCCCTTCTCGTAATACATCTGCAAGATCCCTCCAGGTAAGACTTTCAGGAAAATCGGCCCCCACTGCCGGGACGACATCAAGTTCTTCTTCTCGGGAATCCGCAGCATGAAGGACCACCCGGCTCTGGGCCGGCTGCGGAAGAGCGCGCGCGGCACGAAGGGGGCGGCGGCGGTGGCTTCAGCATCCAGGCGGGGCCGCGACCGGCCACCCAGCGGCTCGGGGTGCTCAGCCGACTGGAGGTGTTCCAGCTTCTCGCAGATGTAGTTGAGCGAACCCTGATTGAGGCTTTTGGCATCAATGGGCATCTCTTGGTCTCTTGGCGGGAATGTCTTCCTGCCTCCCGGAGGGTCAAAGATGAACGGGGAAGCACCGCCTTCCCCTTTCCAGAAGGGGCTGGAAAAGGCACAGTCATCCTGGAAAGGCCGACCCTGCGGGCTGTCGCCTGCGAGGCTGCTTTCATCTGGAAGGCCCGCACGGGGCGCTGGGCACGGGCAAGGGTGGTCGCTGGGCAGGGAGGCGTGCGGTGAGCAGGCTGGTTTGGTGGGTAAGGCGGGGGGGCCTGCCCCTGGGGCGGGCAGGGCGCTGCCTGCAGGTGACTCTGGGTGAGGGTGCAGCCCGTGAGTCCCTGCTCTGGACACCCCGGGGAAGCCTGGAAAGTCTTTGATCGGGGTGGAAAGAGGGGAGTTACTGGGAGGGCCGGGGCTGAGATAGAAGTCTACAATGGGCGAAGGAAGAGGGGTGCTGCAGGTGGATGAGGAGCCACTGGAAACGTCCCTGAAGCCAGAGAGGTTCAGCTTGAGCCCTTTGGGTCTGCAGACACCTTGATTCTCCCGCTGGAAATTCTTTGACTTTTGAGAAGAAGGAAAAGCGGGGTCGTCATCAAACGTGACCCAGTTGCCTGGGTTTGCGGAGCACATGGTTGAAGTCGGAATGCGGTCCAGTCAGGGGATCCAGGAGGTTGTCTCTACGGAAGGAGAAAGATAAAACAGGAATCGAAAATTGAGAAGAACTCGAGTAGGCATCTTTAGTTCTCAGAAAGAATTCAATTTTTAAAAGCATCCAAATCTACAGGTTAATTGGATTAAGAAAATTTTTTGTTTAAGCACTTTTGATTGCAAGCAGGTAAGTCTTGGAGTGGAGGTTAGGTGACCAGAACTTGTTAGGGTTGTGCTGAACACAGGAGGAGAAGAGGAAAATTAATCTAGAATGAAGGAACAACGTATCAACCGTTTAAAAGACATGTGAGTTTTACAACTCAGAAACATTTCCCTATTCACAAGCTCACGAATCAAATAATGCTGTGCATGAGGTGTGATTATTATCTTTAATTCTCGGTTGAGGTCACTTGGGTTTCAGGTTATCATGCAACTGGTAAGCAATACAACTAAGACTTTTAAAAAAAAAGACAGCTTTATTGAAATATAATTCCTGTACCCAAAAAAATGTACCCTTTCAATGTGCACAATTCAGTGCACATTCAAGTATATTCACAGAGTTGTGCAATCATCAGCACTACCTGACTCCAGGACATTCCTATCACCCCAAAAGAAACCCCACATCCCTTCACAGTTGCTCTCTCCAGCCCCTGCCTCCTCCAGCCCCTGGCAACCACTAAGCGATGCTGAGTCTCTAAGGATCTGCCCATCCTAGACATTTCACAGAAAGTGAATCATACGATATGTGGCCTTTTGTGATTGTCTTCTTCCAGAGAGAACAGTGTTTTGGTGGTTCATTCAAGGTCCTGCATATAACAGGACTTCACTACTTCTTGAGACTGAATCATAGCCCATCGCAGGGACATATCACATTTTGCTTATCTAGAGGAACATTTAGATTGTTGTCTCTGGGGGGCTATTATGAATAGAGCAGCAATAAAACATTTACACACAAGACTCTATGTAGACCAGAGTCTTCATTCTCTCAGCATAGAGAGAAGCACAATTTGAACACAACCTAAATGAGTGACCTACCCGTATGACACCAGAGACAATGAGCTGAAGGCCACAGCAATGTCCCCAGGAACCTGGTAACTGGAATGCTGACCACTGCCCTGTCACCACCACTGGCTGACTGCACAGCCTCACGGACTTCAGTTCTACCTCCGCAAACATCCAGTTTAGCCAGAATGGTCTCTGGGAACCTTTCCAACTCAAAAACCTATTCGATAATGCCTAATGTCCCCAAAAGAAGAAACGGTGTTAGCATCAAGTCCAGGGGTCTTCATGCTGGGATCCTTAACCAAACTTCCAAACTGACAGAACCCAAAACTCCATGGTCTCCGGGGGCCGTGTGAAAACTCATAACCTGCTGAACTCCTGCCGTGGGAAAGGCGCACCTCTCTCCCTGCAGCCGGCCCTCTTGCCTCCAGCTGCGGACAATGAAGGCTCAGCAAAGGCAATCACACAAGCCTGGGACGCAGCCAACACAGAGAGAAGGAGGGCCCTGGGGACTGGCCTCGGTGTTGTCTTTGCTCCTGCACACATTCCTGTGAGCAGGAAAACACACAGCGGGGGAGTCGCCCAGGTTCCCTGGCTCTCTCTGGATGGCATTTACTGTCACTGTAGGCCAGAGTCGCCACAAAGTGCTTGCCCCTGGGCAGCAGAGCAGCAGCTGAGAGGCAGGAAATCAGCCACAGGATTCCTTGGCCAGCACACGCCCTGCCTGCTTTAGAAGAAATCCAGTCAACGTAATTCCCCGCCCAGGGTAAGAGATCACAAAAATATTTACTTTTGTGGGGCTTATAATGAAAAAAGGGAAGACCACAGCAAGAAATAATTCACCTTCTGACTGAATCCTACTCTGATCCATACAAAATGGTTTGCTTCATCGGTTATTACCTTGCGAGCTTACAATTTGCAACAGTGGTGTTGGTTTCTTCCTGTGAGACAAAAAGTGGTTTCTATTCATTGAAGAAATAAATCCCATTCTTTTCAAAAGGCCTGTAAGCTTATTTAAACACACACACACAAGCACACACATTGTTAAAAAAAAAAAGTCTTAACCTGTGCCTGGAACCCTGGTGGCATCGTGGTTATGCATCGGGCTGCTAACCATAAGGTCAGCGATTCAAAACCACCAGCTGCTCTGTAGGAGAAAGAAGAGGCTTTCCACTCCCATAAAGTCACAGTCTCAGAATCTCATAGGAGCAAGATTACCCTATCCTACAGGATCACTGCAAGTCGGACTCGACTTGATGGTAGTGAGTACAGCTTGGATTTAACCTGAGCCCATGGCAGCTGAAAGACGCCTGCTCGCACTTGGAAAAGCCCATCGCTCTGGGAAGGCCTCACACATCTCTGCTCCTCAGGCATCATCAGGCTGTGAGAAACGAAACCGGCAGCTTCCTTGAATTGCTCAGAAACAACAATAGCTCAGTATCAATTTGGATCCCATTCTAAGAATGACTTTTATAACTCAGCCTGCCCCATTTCCGGTCCCTGCAGCAGCCGTTCTGCCCTGAATGGTGAGAAAGTTCTCCGCCTTGTCATCTACCAAAGATGTCCGGGTCTCCTCAGCCCTGACATTTGTCTCCTTCCTTAGACCGTGAAACTCCCTGCCAATCCCTTCCTCCCGTGCCATCCCCGCACCCCTGACCCCGTCTGTTCGCCAGGGTCTGCTCCTGCTGCCGGCTTCCTTTGCTTTTCCCCGGAAACCATTCCAGTCAAAATGGTCACCCCGCAGCTCTACCTTGTCCTGGGTGGCTGTTCAAGATAAGACCGGATGCATTTGGTTGCCGAAGGAGATTCCAGGCCGCTTGCAGCTGAAGATTCAGTCCCCACGTTAGTGTGTGTCTGTTGTGTCTGTGAAAGCCAGCTCCCTCTAGACATAGCCCCTAGAGCCTGGCGTCTGTGTGGCCAAGGCAGGGTGCACACTGGTGCTTTGGTTGAGCGCGAGGCAACAGCAGTCCCAAACCGACTGGTCCGACCCCAACCTCAGAAGACATCTGGGATCCGCCTCCGGAGCAGAAGCTGAATTTGGCCCTTTATGCCCCTGCCTCCCCCCCACCGCCAACAATGCTGCATAATCTCAAGAAGGAATGTCTTAATGTCAGTGTCTGTGTGCTTTCATTGGCTGTTCCCAAATAAGGAACGCTCATTCTCTCCCCCAGTGCCTGACAAATCAACAACAACATTGTCAGGACACCCAGGGGCGCAGCGTCTGCAGAGCCTCCTACATCCTGTGACCCTCACCGCCACCCCAAAGGGGCCGTTTTGAAACTATGCCCAAGTCAGGGGCAGCCCAGTGTGCAAAAATGCCCCCAAGAGGCACTTTCTCAAAAGCTTGCCATCAAAATTATGAGAAGGAGCATTTCCATGGGACCTTTTTTTTTCCTTTTAAAGGAAAAAGTTATACCTTTGAAACCAAATATGTAAAACACCAGGTAAAGCAGACAACCTGCACAGCACACCCATCTGAGGTCACAGAAGTACCCACAGGTCCATGTGCCTAGGATTAGCGCGTGTGTCCTGCAGCTGAGAAGACACTTAATCCCAAGCATGTGTGCTATTTAGCTTGGCTGTGGCAGGAAATACCATTTGTAAAATGTTAAACTACAGCAAAACCTATCCAGGATTATCGGTGCCGGTTCCAACTTTAGCTCCCCAAGAGAGGGCACACCTGGCTCCTCCCAGCTGGCAATGGACCTTTACTCTTCTAGGATCAATTCAGGTCCCAGTAATGGATCAACCTTGATTTTAAGAATCTGTTAAATAGCTTGTTCATTGCCTAACTTTAGACAGTAAGGAGAGTACCTGCATGGTGCAAACAGCTCACGTGGCTGCTAATGGAAAAGCTGGAAGGCTGTCTACCCGGAGGTGCCTCAGAAGAAAGGTGTGGGGCTGTGCTTCTTTTAGAAACTCCGCCTCGGAAAACCTCAGGGAGCACAGCGGTATAGACACACGTGGGGCGCCATGCTTTGGAGTTGGCAGGACAGCGACAGAGAGCCACTCAAACTGCCCAGCCCCGGCAGATGGCCTCTATGTGACCAGAGAGAGGATTTTGAGCAGAGCAGGTATTCTGATTCCGTCATTGGACTCTTATTCTCATACTCATGGCACTCTCATAAATGCTATGCAAATTGCTACGCGGCGATCTCTGAGCCTATTTTCTCATCTGTAAAATGGTAATACTAATATCTACTGCAAATACTAATATTTGCCTCATAGTAGGTACTTGATCCAGGTTGGTTTTCCTTTCTCTACATTCCTTGGCCCCTCTCCCTGACCAAAGCCTTGAGGGTGCACATTTTCTCTAGGAAGGAGGCAATCAGAGGGCCTGGGGCGGGCGTCTGCTTTAGCAGCAGGCTGGGTTACAAATCCCTTGAGAATGGCTGTGTCTGCGACCTGCCACACCCATGACCCTGCCTTAGCCTCACCCTCCAGCCTGAGCACAGAGTTCCTGCCTCTGTGTGTGGATCTCCCTGGCAATGCCATCCCCCCGGGGTGGAGAGGGGTCAAATGGGTGTCTGAAACCCTGGGTACAACAGTCAAGTCAGGTCTCTCCCTGGTGATCCTGCCCAGAGCCTGCCGGAGGCTCTTGTCCTCCAGGACGACACCGCCTGACAGGCTCATGACCTCTCACTCCATCATGACCAGAGCCCACATGAAGGGCGTGCCTCACAACATGCTGGAAAACACTACTCTGAGGTACAGACCCTGGGCCAGGGGACAGACACCTCCTTCACCTTGAATTCTCATTGTGGCACCTGCTTCTCTGTGACCAGGAGGGCTGGTGCTGGGCCCACGGCTTTCTCCTGGACTTAGCAGGTACCTTCTGTAAACGTTCACAGCATCGCTCCTGGGGAGTCCTCACAGAGGAGGCCGTGGTTAAGATGAACTCTGGCCTTGACCACAGTAACAGATGGGGGAAAGAGCTAGCCTCCTGCCAATCAGATGCTGGGACTGCGACGTGGTTTGGGATGCAGTCTGTGAATCTCTTAGTTTGCTAAAACGCAAAATGTAGCAGCCCCTCTTGGTGGTTAAAAGAATAATAAAAACGAAAATCCTTTTAAACTTGATCAGTAAGGATGTTCTAATGCAGACAGCTGGGGTAAACAAAACCTTCTGGGCAAACAAGGCAATGGAGCCGGAGACCTCAGGGAATGATTGGCCCAGGGTTGCCTCCTGCCCCTGTGAACCATGCCTCCTTTGTCCCGTTGCTTGAAGACCTTTGTTTATTGTATCAAACCTGTGACACGGTCCCTCAAACTGGCCACATTGTTTCTGGTATCTAACTTGCTTGATTTGCACTGAAGCTTTGAAGCAGTTTGGAAGTAGCACACACATACTCACACACACACACACACATACACACACATGCACACACACCTACTGTTCGCTTCCGTCAGGTGCTTGCAGCACTAGGCGTAGAATTTCTCGAATCTGTCTGGTCTCTGTCTTTGGTCAAAACACTGAAGGGCTTTCTTGGACCCCCATCAAGAATAGCCAGTGTGCAAAGGCTTTCTCCTCAGGGTACCTTCCAAGCACCAGGATGGTCCCCAGCAGCTCCCAGCACTGTCTCTCTGCCCTCAGCACTGATGCATCCCACCCACCAGGTGTTGGACCTCTACTCACCAAGTCAGCCCATCCCTCCTGAGAGCCCCCACAGGGATGGGCTCAGGAAAGCTGCAGGCAGCCTGGTATGGACGCTAAGGTCACAGCCGGCCTCTCCTACCCTCCCTAGTCTCCGCACTAGCCAGCCCCTACAACAAGCTCCTAGGGGGTCCTCCGCAGGACAGATGGCCAGGGAGGGACCCTGTCCTGGGCTATGGTGTCTGGCCCGGCCCTCACCTATGATGTGAGTGAATGGGGCTGAACCCTGGGGCTGTTTTCTGAGGAAAAGTGGAGCCCGCCCCACTACATCCCACGGGCACGTGAGGCAGGCAACCAACCCAATTGGCGCCTTCCCTATGCTGGACACAGAGCCAAGGACGGTCACAGCCAGTCCCTCCACCTAGTGCAAGGGTCAGCTCTCCCTCCCAAGGGCTTGGTGGGCACTTTCTGAACCTTGCGGGCAAGGAGCGCTTCTCCCTGTCCCGATACAGCCCCCACCCGACACAGCTCAAGACAGAGGCTTTCAGGCCACAGCACCTGGGCTCTCCTGATCTGCTCCCAGGGGCCTCGTCTCGTTTATAAAGTGCCAAACAACAGCAGCTTCTTCACAAGGGCCAGATGAAGTGAACCTGGCAAAGCACCACACACAAGGCACGTGAAAAGCGGCAACACGGTACTTACACACCTGAGGGGCTTGAATCGGAAGTCCCCTCTGCTAAGCCATCCAGGGTGGGCCCATCAGAGGGACCCCCGCTAAAAGTCCCCAGGTTCCTCTCTAGCTCTGAGATGGTCTCTGCTCTCCAGCGAAAGAGAATCAGGTGCACGCCCACTGTCGCCCGAGCCGAGCGAGGCGCACGTGAGGACTGAGACAAGGGACATCAAAGCTTCTCGGCAAACCCCGAGTAAAAACGGAGAGACGGCCTTTGCACGCGTGGATGGTGGCGGACGGATTCAAACCTGAAAACCCTGGACCCTGCTCATCACCCACAAGCCCAGACTCAGCCAATCCCCCTCCCCCACCAGGAACTTATTTAGCATCACAAATTCACCTCAAGTGGTGCCACGGTGACCAGCCCCCATAACCTGGACAGTGTCCCTCCCTGACCTAATGTGGGGGGAGACAGAGGGGAACTCCTGGGGTGCCTGTAAGGGGGCAGATGATCAGTTTTGGGATTTGTGGGATTGGGAGAAGGCAGGCTGTGGCCTTTGCCCA